GTCAGCGTAGCTTTATTGACGCGGCCATAAGGCTTTCATCGGTCGACGACTCATGCTTTCTGCAATCGGTGAGGCGTCCGCGTTGACATCAGCTAAGAGGCTGGTTTCTGCGTCCCGACAGGCGTTGCGCCACCGCCGCCTTTCTTCGCCAACAACCTTCTTTTCAACTGTTGCCAAAGAATGCTAGTTTGCCTAAGTATCTAATAGCTTGAAAAAATCCAGTGAAAAGTTGCAAAGAAGCCCGGCATTCCACCGCAACAACAGCCAGATGATGAGCGGGGAACAACTGCGTGGTGCCATGCGGTGGTGCCAGATATAGCGCTCCGTACAATACCTCCACAGGCTGGAGCTGTACTCCGTACTTCACAGAAATTTTTAAAAGCTATTAAGTGTTCTTACAGAAAGCCTTCATCTACCTGCATCCCTCAGTAATCCGATGAGCGGAGAGGGGCAGCTACGATGCGCAGAGCTGCACCTTAGTAACAGCTCCAGACTTATCAACAGTTGGGCAGAGCATGTAGCCCGCATGTACACAACACTGAGGCTGATGGCATCGAGCTACAGCTACTCTGTGGTAACAACAGAGATACAAACAGCCAAATCAGTCATTCAAATGTTTTCCAATCTTCAATTTAAAATATCAGTAATGGAGCAGGTGAGGTAGTGTAGTTGTTCTATAGCACACGATTCAATTAACTCCCTTGCTAGGTACCCATTTACCTGAGCGCTACATAACTAGTTAGCTGCCCTCTTCACTCTTAACAGTATCACTCGCTTTTTGCAAAGATGTCGATGCAATTCACCTTTCCTCTCGCGGCCAATGGGCCACCTCAATTTCGTCCCTCGAATTTGTCTTACGGGCCGGACAGCTGCACTCTGGTCTCAAATAGGGAAGACTCATTGTCAGTGTGTGCCTGCTTAGTGTACTAAGGCAGCTAGATCTGCAAGATATACATATTCTTGTGGTCGCTTTAAAAACATACAATTCACACTACAGCGGTATGCAACCGACATCTCACCTAAATTTGTCGTTGTATTTTGAGGTAGGCCGCTGTACCCCCGAGCTGCCTACATTCATCAAAGCTGCAACTTGCGCATTTCTATATTTTCTATTAATAAAATGTGTGCAAGAAGTTCAGATATGCTCGTAGCAGTTGCATAAGGAAGGGTTGATGGCCAAAAGCTTGTTCCACCTCAAACTATGTGCTGCTCCAAAAACGATACAAAACGGCCTAGAAAGCATACACATAATCACCAGAGACTAACAAAAAACGCACCTACTTGTCAGAGATTAGGGTGAGTGGCTCTGGACAAGAGCGAAGCAACACAGAAGTACGTAGGATTGATGCTTAAGAATCGGTTTAGCGATGGTTTTTTCTGAACAGTGATTTGAGGATTTATGTCGAACGTATGCCATTAACACCTAGCCAGCAAGAAAAAATTTCGGCTTACTGGCGTAAACGCTTGGGTTGACACACGAGATTCCCGCACCATCGCAAGTCCTGTTGCGCCAACAGTACGCAGAAGTTCGATCACACGATCAAACAATGTATGCATTGTCAAGTTCAACAGCTGTCCACAAGTACAGATGTAGGATTTTCAAAGCTATTTGAGGTACTTAAGGAGCCATATGGCACCATTAGTGCCATGTGGCTCCTTAAGTACCTTCGTGCACACCACATTCTGTGACATAAAAGCTTTGCGTATTTTCGTTCGATTCTGCTCAGTGTTCAGTCACGCTTTCTGAGGTTTTTAATATTTTGTATCTATGTATTACAGCTGCGTACTGTATGGCTTTGACTGCATGTTCGCTCCGCTTAAATGAACCCCACTTTGTGAGGAAGTCAATTATTCCGAAGTAAAACAACTTTCGCCCGTCATGGCTTGCGAGACCGCAAAGGTCGCGACGCCAAAATGGCTCCTCTGCACAGACGAAAGTGAAACTCCAAAATATGCCATATGCAGACAATGAAGAAGCTCAGAAGATATTCCTCCCTCGAACGCTAAAACTCCAACTACTGAAAATATAAACCTATGCAGCTTGCCTGCATCCCCGAAGGTGGACGATTGGGCATCCCGTGTGCTGAGGTAACATACCAGAAGCATGGCATGATGCATTTTTTGAAATTGTGCATCCGAAGCATTAAAAGTGGGCAAGTAAAGACTAATATGCCTCAGCTCACCTGTTTGTAGATAATGAAGTGTCTCCACCACAACCATGAAAATGGCTGGGGGCTGACAAACGCACGCCACACACCACAGCTGTGGGGTGTACACACTACAGCTGGAGCTCGAAAATTATGAAGTCGTGTTAGCTGCTCTCTCGGGGGGTGACGTGCGCCTAGACTAATGGAGAACAAGAGCTTGGCAGGAATCGATGAGGTCTCGCATCGACTGACCGACGGTACGTAATGAATGAGGGTAGAAAAGCTACAGCTGGATTTAATGCCTTACGGGATTCCTTATGCGAATAGTAGATGCCAACAAGTAGAGAATAGTCCATAAGGCTGTGGGACATTAAAAACTTAGAGTCCCTTCGCAACAAATCCACTAGGCGAGCAGCGCGCTCTGGGCCGATGTCAATCTGCAGTAACTCGCAAGTCCTAGAGCACAAATACTGTAGCACAGAAACTTGGACGTACAAATTATGTACAATCGCTGGAATGCCTATACCTTTTCGCCTTCTCGTTCGAGGTCATTATCCTTCAAAGCAGCCGTTGGGTCCCTGATACCATCAGATAACAGCACAGTCCTTTTGCCTTCCTTGTCAATCAACAGGAGCAGCGCTCAAACGAATTAGACTCCATGCAGACAGGCTCAGCACCTGCCTTTGTTGGCAAAGTAATTGGGTGCACCCCGTTAGCCTCTAATGCACTGAGAAGTCCCCAGAAATGATCTTAAGGACCATGAGGAGCTAACCTAAGGACATAATCATGGCCAGAGCCGAGCTTCAGTGGGGTCTCTGCAGCTCCCATCTGTGACGCTCCCAAGTGTGTCAAGTTGCTGGAAGCTGCAGAGACCACATCGAAAAGCCGTATATTGTCGCTTACGCGCGGTTATCTAGTGCGAGGGAGCGCTTGTAGGTGGATCCCTTGAGGTCGTATCTCCGATGTATGGGTACTGGCGTGTGAAAGAGATTTTCCATCACTAAAAAGTAGGTCTTGTGGCGCATGCGATCTGAAATGCACACAGATTGATAGCCGGAGCTCTTACCCGCGAAATACCCAGCGTAGCAACGCCATGTGAAAGCTTATGTCCAACCTACTGATATCCCAGCCCTTCAGTGCCTAGATCTTAAAACTTAGACCTAATGCTCTAAATATTCATACTTGCTGCAGAACTGAGTCTGCCTTGGCGGGGAAACGTGTGTTTAACTGCGTGTAGCCCCAAGAATCTGGAAAGCAAACTCTCGGGGTTCTTCACGAAATGCTCCAAGTAATCTGGCAGCAAACGACGGAGGCCTCGGGCAGATTCGCGGGAAACCTGTACAAAGACGAACCCAAAACATTCAGAAAGTATCCCCTAAATCCTTTCTTCGAAGTAAGGTGAAACATACAAACACCCTTAAACATCCCAAAATCCGCCGCTGTTGAAACGGATACACCAGCGATGGATCACAAATGCACTTAACGGGCCATACACGCTAGATCTAAAAGTCTCACCGTTTTTATAATAAATTTGCCATCGGCTGTGTAGTAGAATAGGGCCCCACTTTTTCCCTCTGAGACAAGCTCAGAGAGAGAGGCAAGACTCCCTGCAGAAAGTAAGGCCGTTCAAATCTCTGAGGGATCCACGGGCGAAGCACCACCATCGCTGTAACAACTGGTGCCGCAAGCAACGACAGGTGTATGAAATGCCTTCCCCATAATACCTCTGCTGGCTTCCTTTGAAGCCAGAATCCCCTAACCCAAGCATTGACTCACATAAAATCGGGCACATACATTAGCTGATCTCCATATACGTATATGTGTTCCTGTACTCATGAATATAGCGATGCACAGAAGCCAGGCCTACAGCTCTCTAGCTATCTTGCTCTTTCCTCGGTGCAAAGTGTTTTTTCAACGCAGTTAGCTTTTCTTACCTAGCAGCAGATTCGACACGACCTGCTCGGGCCCGATAGAGTGTATATACATCGTCTTGTCAATCTTGAACATTTCTCGCAACCGACGAAAAACCATGGGTGCATAGTCTGTAAATCTTACGGTAGTCTGCACCAGAAAACCCAAACTCCTATTTTTCAGCACTTAAGCATCAATCCTATTGCAGGTACAGGCTGTCTAACCTCAAGTTCGCTCCTTGTTTTGGGGTCCATAAGCACCAACCCTTTCAACACTTCCCTCCTCTTCTCCCACCTTAGAGAACACCCGGCAAAGCCGAAATCCTAGATCGTTAGCTCTCACAGGATGAAGGGGGCTTGCATCTTCGTGTGGGGTTTGAGAGAGAAGTCGGAACTTCTCCTTGTAGTTGAAGTCATACGGTTTAAGAGACCGCTCTGGAGCTATCGCGACGCGACCCCCTGCCAATCTCATTCCTAGCATTACATTTATTACAGTGTTCCAGCTATGATGGCCGAAGTAAATTGCTACGCCCTTAGCTGCAATCCCTAGAGGCCTAAACAACACCCCAAAGCACACATCAGGAAGTCCAAGCAAGGGGTAAAGAGCAAAGAAAGACCCAATATACACTACAGACGAAGCGCTAAGGGCAAAGTGTGCATCCACGTGTAGAAAGAACTTTACGATGTTGAGTTGTAAGGCTCCCCCTTAGAGGCGTAAAGCACCCTTTGTCGTCTTCGGCCTCGTGGCATCCATATTCAACGGACTTCTTTTGATAAGCAGCTGCATGGCTCACATGTAGAGGCATAATTTTGCAGGCGCTGTAATTGCTGAGCTACAGTAGCACGATCGGACAACTGTCCTCTTCGCCAGCTGCACTACGACTTCTATGTGGACTAAATTTTCGATACTTGGGAGACTACATGCTACACGAATATACATTCGACAGAAGGAACCAGCAACACCAACAAATAACAGCAACGATCACGGCAAAATGCAGCAGAACCACTATCAGATGTGGTATAGGGCCTACCTCTGCGTCGACCAATTTTGGGCTTATTGATATACATCTTGAGTCGTAGTGCATTCTCGTCGTGCCTATCATACATGGGATCCGTAACACGAGCCTCGCAGCACCAGCTTCAGCAGAGAAGCATAAGCAGAAGAGGTTAGTATGACCGGGAAGAAACAAACTCTTTATTCTGAACTTCAGACACTAGACCATGAACAGTCTTACAAAGTGACGCCACGACGTTGACCTGCGTGAGCGCTGCTTCGTGCGGCCTGCAAGGAGCACCAGCACCAGAATATTGGAATAGGTATGGAGAAAGAAGGCACTTCAGTATTTGAATGTGTCGTTTGCTCTTGCTGGACCCACAGCCATCCAGTCTGATACCGCTAACTCGTCGAGAAAAGAGGGCACTTAAGATTCACTTTGGTGTCTGAATGGAAAAACGTGCCACCGTAAGGCAGCACCACGTGGTGATTCGTCGCTTCCTCCCCTGCGCGCCCATTCAGAATACATTCTTACTGTGGACCCCTTTAACCCTGAACCCTAAACACCAGTCCCAACGCAAAAAAATCCGAGATTTTGTTTTAATTTAAAGGCACAAAACTATAGCAGCGAGAACTGCTAGCATCTGTTTAGCGTATTATCTGAGTCCCCTATCGTTTGCCCCAGTTTACGTGACCACTCTGAACCATGACAGCTCCAACCGCATGCGGAACTGAACGCTTAGGGCATGCCCTATCTGCCATGTGAGTGCGCTGATAATGGTGTAAACTTCTCACGCTGTGATATCTGCAACGGTTGCTGTTGTGGCTGCTGTTGTAGAACTGGGGAGTCTCCGGATCCTCGTGCATAGCTCAGAGCGGTGGCGATGATTTGTTGCAGTTTCTGTTCAGTGCATTTGACTGCAGCGACGGCTGCTGCTGCCGCCGCCTCGGTTTCTGCTGTCGCTGATGTCCCTCTTGGCGTGAGCAATGCCTCTTGTGCCTCCGTTATTTCTATGAGCGGTGACGATACGGCTGCTGCTGTGAGGTTCTTCCCTGGGAGGCTACTATCTTCGGGCTGTCGCTCTGGAACTGCAGAAGCACCAGCAACATGTTAAGGTACATAGCTCCTGCATGTGCAGAGAGCAAGCAACCCAGCATGAGCAGCCGAAGAACCAGGACCACAGCTGCGATCGTCCTTTGATTCTCACCAAATGATACAAAAGTGGCCTGTTTGAGGGTCTGAATCTGCCTTTCTATTTCTCTGAGGTTGTCAATGCAGAACTCGAGCTGCTGCAATTGCTGCTTTAGCTGTTGCTGCTGAAAGACGTGCTGCTGCAGCTGCTGCGGCTGCTGCAGCACTTTTTCCATGGTGTTTGTTGAATCTGAAGTGCTCCTATACAGCCGGCTCGGAATGCCCCTGAGACTCCGTACGATGCCCTCTGTTTTCACTCGCTCCATGTCGGTGGTCTCTGCAACGCAAAGCCAGTACACTGGGCCCTAATGCCAAAAATAATTGTCGAGATCCAGTTATGGTTCAAAAGGTATCGTTTATTATTGGGGACATTTTGTGTACTGCGCCTCCTTCAATCTTGCACAGAAATCTGAGGGTACAATAGCTGCTACTGAGTTTTCGTGGGTTGTATGTTTGGCTAACCGTCCCACGCTTTAGCCGCTTGTCCACCAGCTGAAGTGTCGGCTGCAGCGCCTCCAATATCGACCCCCAGGAGAGCGAGGAACGACGGACTGTTTCGAACAGCTCTTCTAAAGTCTGCCTGCATCATTCGTTTGCTTCCATCTGGCAGGGTGGTTGTAAGGGGAAGGAAGACTGCTTCAATTTCTGATTGCGGGATAGGGGGACCCTCGTCCCCTACTAAAATTTTCCTGCTCGCCTCCACTGCTCTTATTAGCTGCACAAAGTCAGAAGTAGATACACTGTCGGCATACACCACATGCTGAATACGCGCAAAAGCTTCCGCCGACACGCGAGGTTTCCGTTTCTGCTGCAACGGAGGCGAGTGCCCCTGGGAGTGGTCATCATGTACACAAAGATGACGCTGACGCGGTTGCTGCATCTGCACGGCCTGAGTCTTCCACTCCATGCCTGCGACTGTTGCATCTGGGGGCATTCCATCGGGGGAACTGTCACATGGCGTCAAAGGGGCCCCATTCGCAGATTCAATGGGAGAAACCGGTAGTTCCTCAAGCGTCTTGCTCTCTGCTTCTCCTTCGCTGGATTCAAATTCGTAGTCGGAGAGACTAGCGCCCGTCCCAGTGAAGCTACACAGCAGCGAAAATACAGGATAAAATCTACTGGCATGAAGGGATTCCAATCAAGGCGACAAGGTAATAAAGCAGGGAAAAATGAAGGGAGAGCAGTTGACGCAGGAAATGCGATTGTCGCAAACAACCAAAGACAGCAAGAGATCAAGCGGAAAGCAAGTGCCACAGAGAGAACGAAAGAAGAGGTACTACAAGGGCAAACGCAAACCAAGATGTGAGAGGAAGCTACACCCAAAGTACGGGAGAGTTTACGAAGATGCTGTAGCTGAAGTGCGTATACTAGACGGACAAAACGCTGCGACAGCGAAGGGAACCAACAAAACAGGAATACCTGGGGTTAAGAATGCGGAAGGCTAGTTCGAGCTTGTCGTCTTCCGAGCCACACATCATCGTGCCCAATGCCACAGCAAACTCGGTGAAATTTAGCTGCAGCAAATATGCATGTGTGCCACAAGCCATGCGCACTAAGTCGTCAATCCTACAACAACTAGCGGGTGGTCGTCACGCTGTGCCTTCGCAAGCAGAAATTTGCAACGACTCATAGTATATCCACCGGTTTCAGATTCCAGTAACTATAGTTACTCTGGATCTGGGGGAAAGATCTAGGATTGGTTCCTTGAGCCGAATGCACACCTCGGTGTTATGGTCCCTGTCAAAGGCTTGAAAGAGGCGGCCGGCAATTTGTGTTTCTTGTAACATTGCTAAGACGCCTAGCATCGAACAAAACTGTGAAAAGCCCATTTTTCCATTGGGAGCAACGCGGCGAAACCTGCTTACAAACCACATATCGCTAGTCACAAACGATAACGCGGGGGCGCTAGCGATACGGGTGTCAAACGCTTGCTGAACACTACGCCACAAATCCACTATCCTAGAAACTGGGGCCTCAGCGTGTTAATTCTTTACCTGCTATACACAACAACAGTCCTTCTGAGCCAAATCCAGAACTCTTTTTCTCAAATTCAAGGAGCACATCTGCAGTTCTACATAGTAGAGCTCAAACGCACCTGGAGTAAAGGAGCTCAATTTCCCTTGGACTTAGGCTGGTACGGCTTTGTACCTCAAGGATTGCTTCTTGTGGCACATTGCGGGGAATGCGTCTTCGGAGCCTGTGTTTCCGCATTAGGCCACATGACCGTTCGAACATTTTGCTGGGATGCGCATACACCTCCCGCAAGCCTCCTCAGGGAGTCCAGTGTACGCACTGGAAAATGTGGCCCAGGTTTTCGTTGTTTGATAGACGGGGATAGAACAGTAATCCCATTCCTTCTCAAGCCATGTGTGTCGGATGCCGGCACAGCAGCCGATCAGCTGCGGCCGCAGGGGTAAGCTTTAGGTTCGCTGAGGTAAAGACGGTGTTGCTTAGCAAGCAAGTTGAATTTTTGGTAGATAAATAAGGACAATTAGAAAAAACAGCGGAGCAGGAAACTCTGCCGCCTCGGGGCCCTCGAGCCACTGAGCCATCGAATGTTGTCGACAGAGTGCATTCTTACTACTGTTACACCCTCAGTTTTACTGTGTTGCCTCGAAGACAGTGAGTAAAAATAAATGCTATAAGGAAATTAACAAATGAGATAATGGAAACCCCATGCGCTGTTTCTAATTCTTCTAACATTCACAACGTCGGTACGAGGCCCTGAAACCCAAGCCCTCGGCAGCATAACATCCCACGTGAAAGCAAAACCATCCTTTAATGCAGCTCCTACAAATGGTCGCTTATAGGACGCTAACGTAAAATATCAAACATGTGTATGCGCGGCTGACACCAATTAGGGTATTTGTAGCCAACTGTATACTACGGTCCCCACAGGTAGACCAGTAACGAGTAGCCATCAAGAACGAGAAAAGCAAGTAGTTTTCCGTTCAAAAAGCTGTTTATACCTTCCCCTGTCACTCGCACGCACGTACCTCTAAAGTAAAAGAACAAGATGGTGTGTTTAGAGACATCATAAGATAAAAGCTTATCCATCTATACACTCAATTATGTGAACCACGCTATACAGAGTGTTTGCCAAGCCTGCTTGCTTTATCAAGGTTCCGATGTGCATAGACTGCCTACTTCGACTTTCCTTCTACTGGAAAAGCTTTGGTTGCTGCCAAACTGAGTACTACGTGCTTTCCCACATTGTAGCGGGCTAAGATATACTTGAGCACTTTCAACTACACTTGTTATATTTAACCAAAATGAACAAACAACTTGACAAATTGTTATGCCCGTTGCATACCTCCTTGATTGAAGAGTAGCTCTGACTCAATGCAACAGGACGCAAGCCTGTGCACATTTGCCCTGGATGCTCCGTGCAGCTAGCTGTGAACGGTCGGACTGTTTAGAAAGTGCAGCTAGGCGCACTTCAGCTATACCTCGACCTTTATATCAGAATGTTGACGAACTCGGGCAAGGCAAGCAGGGATGCCTTTTGAGAAGCTTTCAATGGCTTTTTGTCGAGTTCGCATTCAGTCTAAAGCTAAAGGATCTTTATGGAGCGCTGCAATTGATGGCACCGCATGGTTCCATGCAGATTTTCCCCGCTAATCCGCTAGCAGGAAATATAGTGCGATGTACAGCTTCTCTACAACAGTTGTCTGGCTATGCCAAAGTTGTTTTGCTACTTTACCAGTGTGTTTTGCCTTCATAGCAGTCTCGGAAAATTCCTTCTGACGAAGGTCGTAGACGACGATACAACGCCTACCGGGGAGGCATAACCCGGACTGCGAGCTGATATGAATGCAGAAGCTTTTCCATCTGGTGAATAGGAATGATTTTTCAGGCGATAAAATCTTTGCGGACGCGTCAAAAAGGTTCTGCGGGCCCAAAATGTATGACGGCCGTAAGGATGGGCAGGAGTTCAAAGATTCCATCAGCCAATTGGAGGTTCGACTTGCTACGTACACCTCAGATGAAGAAAAATAAACGATCCTTGTGGCCTGTCTACTGTAGGAGGAAACACTTTGATGGTGGTCCTATTTATGCACAGGGTGTCATCTGCCTGCAGGAATTACTATGGTTCAAGCCTTCATACAAGCTTGAGCTCATCGGATTACGCTGATTTCAGCTCAGCACGCTTCTAGATGATGGGAAAACGTATGCCAGGTCAACATATAAAGAGGCCTGTATTTAGCGGAATAGGAAGCTTTGGTTTGCAGAAGCCACAACGCGAAAAAAAAGCGGCTTTATCCATGGTATGTGCTGGGTACGCCCGAAGTACCACGTCTGTAAAATCGGAATGTGGGGAGCCACTCACAATGAAGCAACCGACCGCGACGTTTGCACAAATAAAGGGCCACGTGAGGATTCAGCAGCGAATGAAGGCAGCACGCAGGACTCCACGTAAGCTCTACGTTGTGAGACACTTAAACCCAAACTCAATGCAAGCTTATGGAAAGTAATAACACGTCTTTCCAAAGGAATCCCAGCCTTCTAGTGCCCCGATTTTTTAATTCCCAGTGTAAGGGGAGATGGATAGCTCAAGGGTGACTTACTGTTCTCCTCTCAGCATTTTTATTCACAGGTAGTCTCTTTTAGCACCCCGCCAAAAAGCACACAACATTGTGTCTATTTGTACTACGCTTACAGTACTCTGCAACGAGAAACGCAAACAGACCGAAAACGCCATTCAGCAAAAGGTTTATTAGGTCTTTGTTAAGCTTAATATGTGGCGCTAAAATTATGCTCACATCATCGCATCTCTCCACTGATCGATAACACGCCTCTCTGTGTTCCCTACCTGTCCCCTAATACCAACTAAGGGCGGCACAGCGGAAGAGTTCTGCCCTAGTGCCACTCCTCAGGCAGACAAAAAAGCGAAAGCAGTGCAAATGATAAATGCATTGCGGGTATTAGC